ATGGAGTTGTAGATAAAAGCTTAATAATAAAGTATTTTATTTCCAGCCAATGCCAAGTAAAGCTGTTCGTATTCATTTTCTAGTCGTTCGACAAACACGGGACACCCACACTGGTTTGTGTTAGGTGTTGGAGAAGTTATTAAGGGCCTCGATTTAGGGCTGAACGGCATGTGTCCCGGGGAGAAGAGAAAAGTTACAATTCCTCCGTCTCTGGCATACGGCGAGAAAGGAAAAGGTAGGTCTTTTCTCTCTTGCAGTCCGCAGACAGACCCTTCGCTCACTTCAAACACGCAAAGAAAGTAATACAGTCCCTTACACAGGTGGCGCTGTTATGCTTTCTTTTTCTTTTTTTAATTCGAGTACTCTTTGTTGTTGTTGTTGGTTTTAATTACATTGATTTGGACAATATTTTAGATAACAGCTAAGCAGAAAATTATCATTCTTATTTTCCCCCCACATAAATTGAATATTTTTTTTAGATATTTTATTAAAAGCCCAACTTATAGAAATGTGAATAATTTTTGTCACTGTAATGATAAATTATGTGCTAGATAATTAATATTATCTGAAAATGTACTTGTTTCGTGCATTTCACAGTGATTACAAAACAGCTTAATGAAAAGGTAACACTTTATAATAACTTTCATTTATAAATCATTAACAAGCATTATATAATGCTTAACAGATCATTAGTTCATATATATTCACATAGCTAGAAATATGAGATAATGTTCTTGTTAATGTTTACTAATGAACTTACTAAACATTACCTAATGATTAACATATGGTTATTTAATGTAAATTGAAATGCTTACAAATGTCAGTAAACTTTCAGTTCATTTGATCTTCATTTGTTGGTCTTTGTTTGTTGTGTAGACCTCTATTTACATAAAAAACAACAACTTACTTACACATAGTAAGAAATTGTTATAAAACCTGAAACAGAAGCGAAACAAGTAATAGGAAAGAAGAGACATAAAAAGCGATACTTATCCTTTGCCGGTGTCCCTGCCCGGTGGAGTCGCACGGTAGAGTCGATGGTCTTTGTCAGTAAACTTTCAGTTCGTATGCTCTTCATTCGTTGGTCTTTGTTTGTTGTGTAGACCTCTATTTACACATCTTAACAAATAATCGATTAATTATTTGTTCATGTTTTTGCAGTACCCAATCTATTTATTTATTTATTTAGTCATTCATCAGACGCTTTTATCCAAAGCGACTTACAAATGAGGACAACAGAAGCAATCAATTGTAGTATTAAAACAACTAAA